TTCGTCCGCCCAAAACGTACGTTAGACACCGACTCACCGGTAGTTGACCTCCCGGCAACTCTTAATCTGGTTTGGCCCGCCTGTCAAGCGGTTTACTGGTTGTGGCCCCCGTTGCATTCAAATAGCTTCTTGGAGCCACAGGTGAGAGCTGAGCATCTGATGGAGACCAAAGAACGAAGGATGCCTCAGAAGGGGCCGACAACCCTCCACATCTGTTTGTCAATCTATTCACGCGTTGCTTCGCTGTTGTTTTGTTTTGTTTTCAGGAACCAAAATCCCGCGGATTCCTGCGTGCATTTTGGTTATTAGTTTATCAAATTTCAAAATATGCCTCTACTCGCAAGTAGAACACAATTTCGGAAAAACAATAATTCATAATCATGCCGTTACACTTTTTACGAGAGGATAACACATAGATGTTGATAAGATAACATTAAAATGGGAGGAATCGATCACTGTGTATATGTGTTGCACACCACATTCTTAGTTCTGTGCTTCGGTGATTTACACTTGTTTATATGATGAATTCGTCGTGTAAATGAGGTGTGAGCTGAAAAGCTGGGAAGCTATGAACAACTGTTTCGACCTGTTTGGGTCTCATCCGAGCAGTGCAAATCTATCAAACCCGGGACCTCACAGATAGAACGCAAGCATACTACCCACTCGGCCACCGGGCAGTTGATCAGACCGTTTCTCATTTTGAACATACACGATGTGTCACAACCCACCTATGCGAGTATCGGTGCTTCCCAGCTTTTCAGCTCACGTCTCATTCACACTACGAATTCATCATATAAACAAATCAAATCCTCCGCTAATGTCAGACAATAAATAATCAGATTGTGAAAGTTTCCAACGANNNNCAACGAGTCATAACCCTGGAGGCTAGTACTGAGCTGAACGGGGACCAATACTCGCAACAAGCTCGTATAGATGGGTTGTGCTATATCGTGTATTTGCACTTTTGTCACGTTGGTCGTATGACCCAGTTCTGTGAGATCGATATTATTGTGTAAAAATGTGTTTGGGGCAGCCGGGAGGAGTGGTTTGTTGAACCCAGAGGAGATGGACAGCTTCAATAGATGCTTCTGGGCCCATAATTTGGGAGTCACGTGTTGAAAACAAATGGCCTCGGTTATGGCCAACGTACGCATTCTAACACATTTGAGCCGGTTTGTGCGAACCTGATAAATAATGCGAAATGCTTCACTTGGGTTAACACGATGGCCATAGTCTATCAAATGGGCGAGAATCTCACTTGTGATAGAGCCGGAAAAAGCCAACGCCGGTGGTGTTCATGTCGATGTAGAGTGCGTCACAAAGGCATCTGAACGGGTAAACAATCATTGAAACGGTCAACCTCGGTAGTTTATCTTTATTCTGTTTGATATCAGTGGCGAAGTTTCTTAGGGTGCAGCGTAGGTACGCGGGATTGATTTTCGCTTTTACCGCTCAATTCAGTAGTCTTGGTCAGGTTTCGGTGGCAACTTCGCCCTTTAAAGCAAGACGAATGAACAAATCCTTCTTTTCCGCCCTCTCAGTGTGTATATTTGGTACCCGTTTCATCATAGTTCGTTGAATGAAATGGTCTGGCGCCTAACCACTTCCGAGCACGTCTGTTATAAACACGAGCAAACCATAGTACAATAATCTTTATGAAAAAGAAAAACTTTCCATGATTTACATGTGCGCGAAATACTGCCAGGTTGTTCAGGCCAAGACAGGTGAATTGTCTTAAGGAATCCACGAATGGAGCCTTTGGCCAGCCAAAGCCTGACCTACAACGCAGTGGGGCGGTGTGTGAAAACCACAATCCATTGGGGGCCGGTGTCCAGTTCACCGGATCATACACCTTTTTGACGGGGTCCAACGTCCAAGTTACCCAATCGAACCGGTGATCACAATCACCAAAACCATGAAGGTGTGTTTGGTTCGTACGCCTCCTCGTGGTTGGTTTGAGATCAGGGTTTTTGGCCAACTCCCCTAAGTGAACTAACAGTGGTCCACCAACTCGGTTATAACCCCGGATATTTGCTTTTCGTCCTCTCACTTTGGTGGTTCCTCTTCTGTTTACTTGATGCATAACTGTTCACACACACTGGCATGCTCACACAATATCACCGATCCCTTAGAACTGGGTCACACGACCAATATGACAAAACCGGAAATTCCAAAAGCACAGAACTGAGATTGTGGTGCGCCACGCACACAGACACAGTGATCAATTCCTCCCCTTTTAATTTTATTCTCCTAACCCTTAGGTTTGCTTATCTTGTACTATGTGAATTATTGAAAATAACAGTTCGCCTGAAATGCTGTCGGTTTTATGTTCTTGTTCATTTTCCTTGTCAGTTGAACTGATGTGATACCGCGATCACTCATTCTAATCGTGAAGTCTCGATTGCCATTTCGACCGGATTGTAAACCTTGAGTCAAAAACAAAAACCCATGGATCTATTTTTTTTCTTCGTGCCATTTTTTCTGTCCGCTCTACAAACGATGCGAAAATTGACTGAGTATCGGTCACCAGGACCACGTTTTTGAAAAGCAATTTGTTTGAGGAAACTAGATAAGTTATGTTGGTTCGTTTTCCAGGCTCACAATTGATAATTTTTTCTAGCTGGTATTGTAGCCCCAGTGAATAGGGTCAGTTTGACGAACCCAAAAGAATTTCAGTCAAAAGCGATCGCGAATAAGTAGAAAGAGTGTTAGTTCGGTGGCAGGTAGTTTCGCTGTACTTTGGTTCCATGAAACCCCAATGCTAATGCGACCTTGAGTGATTAGTCTTTCC